ACGACGACGGTGAGGGCGATGAGGTCGTCAGCTCAAAGGATCTTGAAGACCCGACCGCGGCCAGCCTCCTCGACCAGGAGCTGAACACCGCCAAGCAGCACTTTTACGGCGAAGAGCTGGAGATGAACTTGAACCTCTCCTATCAGCTCTTCAGCGCCCTGGCCGCCAAGGGCAACGCCGAAGCGCACCTGGTAAGCAGCATCAGCTTATAATTGCGTCATTTCGAAATTCATCCTAACCTCTTTCTATTTCTATTTCTGCAGTACCTCGGCTTCATGTACTCCGTCGGCCTGGGCTCGGTGCGGGCGAACCAGGCAAAGGCCCTGCTGCACTACACCTTCGCCGCGCTCGGTAACTCCACCTTTGCGCAGATGGCCCTCGGCTACCGGTACTGGTCGGGCGTGGGCGTCGCCTCGAGCTGCGAATCGGCGCTCTCCTACTACCGCCAGGTGGCGGCCAAGGTGGAGGCGGGCGTCACCTTCTCGGGGAGCCCCTCAATTCAACGGGTCCGCCTGCTGGACGAGCTGGAGAACCCGGGCACGTACAATGGTGTGCTCGACGACGACCTCATTCAGTACTACCAATTTCTGGCGGACAAGGGCGACGTGCAGGCGCAGGTGGGGCTGGGGCAGCTGCACTTTCAGGGAGGAAGGGGTGTGGAGCTGAATCCTCGGCGGGCGTTTCACTACTTTAAGCTGGCGGCAGAGTCGGGCAATACCAATGCGATGGCTTTTCTTGGAAAGGTAAGCGATCGTTTTTATTTAGAACATGTTTGAGGGAACTCATTTTCATTTCTTTTTCTCTTTTCAGATGTACCTCGAGGGCAACAAGGTGGCCGAGCGGGACTACGAGAAGGCCTACAAGTACTTCAAGATGGCCGCGGAGAAGAACAACCCCGTCGGGCAGAGCGGCCTGGGCATCATGCACCTCTACGGANATGTACCTCGAGGGCAACAAGGTGGCCGAGCGGGACTACGAGAAGGCCTACAAGTACTTCAAGATGGCCGCGGAGAAGAACAACCCCGTCGGGCAGAGCGGCCTGGGCATCATGCACCTCTACGGAAAGGGCGTCGAGAAGGACTTTGCCCTCGCCTTCAAGTACTTCTCGCAGGCCTCGGTGCAGGGCTGGGTCGACGGGCAGCTCTACCTGGGGCTGATGTACCTGAAGGGCTACAGCGTGGGCCGAGACCCGAAGTCGGCGATGAAGTACTTTACGCTGGCCAGCCAGTCCGGCCACATTCTCGGCTTCTACAACCTGGCGGTGATGCACGCGGACGGCGTGGGCGCCATTCGATCCTGTACGACCGCCGTGGAACTCTTCAAATCGGTCTCGGAGCGAGGGCCCTGGGGCGGGACGCTGATGGAGGTAAGTTGGGAGTTTTTACCACAGGAGTTTAACCTGTTTTTAAAATCTCTCTTTTCTCCCTTTAGGCTCACAACGACTACAAAGAGGGCGACCGGCCGCACTCCTTCCTGAAGTACGCCGTCCTCGCGGAGCTCGGCTACGAGGTGGCGCAGAGCAACGCCGCCTTTATGCTTGACCGCGCCGAGGTGGGCGGCCTCTTCAACGCCTCGGAGATGCACGCCCGCGCCTTCATGTACTGGAGCCGGTCGGCCGCTCAGGGGAGCTCCACGGCCCGTGTCAAGCTGGGCGACTACCACTACTATGGCCTGGGCACGAAGGTCGACTACGAGCTGGCGGCCAATCAGTACCGCATAGCCTCGGAGGGCCAGACGAACGCCCAGGCGCTCTTCAACCTCGGGTACATGTACGAGAGCGGACTGGGCCTCCGGCGGGACATCTACCTGGCGAAGCGGTACTACGACCTGGCGGCGGTCACCAGCACCGAGGCGCAGGTCCC